AGAAGGGTGCAACAATGAATGAATGGAATTCCAAAATCTCTGTAGATGTTCATTGAAATGAAAAATAAACAAACTAAATTTAAAAAAGAATAAGGCAAAAAAAGAAAATTTAAAAAAAATTGCCTCTGAAAACCCTCCGGAGGTTTGGTTTGGTTCTGACATGATGGTACACACCACCACTAACAATATAGTGGTGTTTGTGTTTGTTTGTTTTAATAACAGTATAGTTTTGGGGTTGGGTTATTTGTTGTTGTTGTTGCAGTGTATCATTGAACTGGATCTAACCGGCACAGGAGAAGATTGCCCCACCTTCTCAAGTGGAGCATCTGGTGGATTCAAACTGTGTTCCTTTGGGATTCAAGTGCAGCTTCTTTCCACTAGGTCACCAGGGCTCCCTAATATCAGTATAGTTTTAAAAGGAGCTCTGGTGGCTTAGTGGGTAAAGAGCTGTGCTTCCAACCTAAAGGCAGATGGTTTGAATCCACCAGCTGTTCCTTGGGAGAAAGACACATAGTCTTCTTCCATGCAGTTTAGAGCCTCTGAAAACCCGAAGGAAGGTCAGTAGAATCGGTTCTGACTCTACAGCATTGAGTTTTGAGTATAGTTTTTAAGGACTCCTGGTGATGCAGTGATTAAGTAGTCAGCTTTATATTTATGTTGGTGGTTGAAATTCACCAGCCACTCTTGAAGAGAAAGACGTGACAGTCTACTTCTGTAAAGATTTGTAGTCTCGGACTCTGTGTGAAGAATATTGAGTATAGTGAACTGCCAGAACAATGAAAAATATCTCCCTGGAAAGTACAGGCAGAACGTTTCTTAGACATGAAACTTTGTCTCATGTATTTGGACGTCTTATCAGAAGGCATCAGTCCTTATAGGAAGATGTGGTAAAATGGAGGACGTGCCACCAAATGCTCCTTAGAGTTGAAGAGAGCCTCACACACTCTGCACGTGTTGTCAGGAGGTCCGGTCATTAGAAAAAGACCTCATTCTTGGAAAAGCAGAGGGTCAGTGACGGAGAGGAAGACAATGAGATGGATTGATACAAGAGCTGCAACACTGGGCTTGGGAGGAGGAGACTGTGAGGCTGCCACAGCATTGGCCAGGGTTTCTATCTCCTGTACAATCTGGTCACAATGACGTGGAACCAACTCAATGGTGCCCAACAGAAGGGACTCCCCACATGCGCAGAGTGTGTGAGGCCGTCTTCGACTCTAAGGGGCATTCTGGCTGCACTTCCTTTTTACAGATTTATTTGTTAAGTGCTCAACTAGGTGAAAGGTTGGTGGTTCAAACCCAGTCAGAAACTCCTTGGGTGACAGGCCTGGTGATGTGCTTCCGAAAGGTCACAGGCTTCTAAATTATGTGGGGAAATTGTACATGAGTTTGTCATGAGTTAGAATCAGTTCAACAGCAATCAGCAACATAATAACATTTGCCAATTTAAAGTTGATGCTTTATTTATGGATCATAAACTTAATGATGAAAACAAAACAAAATCCCCCCTGACTCTAAAAATCTGACCTGGGCCATTTATCTCTTAAAATAACTAGACAGATTTGTGTCTGTTTTTTCCTTTCATGTAGACATTTGAGAATTATAGTGCAATCATAATCTTACAGGTGTTCATTTAAAATGCCCACATTTATGATCCATAAAAACTTCAAGGTTTATCCATACTCTTGGTATTTTAATAAATACACCGCATTTAGAAGTTATTTCTACTATATTTCATAATGATAGAGTAGATTTTCATTTGGAAAATCTGTTGCAATTTACCTCAATGTTTGGTAGGGGAATTGCCTCTCAATTTACCCTGAATTGGAATATGACTTAATTCAGATAGGTTAAGTGGAAGCAGTAGTTCCATTTAAATGAATATAATAACACTATTTAGTGTAGTAAATCTTTCATTTTTCTACAAGAGAAAATATAAAGCAATTGCCTTTTTTGAAAAATAATGAGAAGTTATAAGAAATAAAAGTTTTGAATAAGTGAAAGTTCTGAAGAGAAACAAAAACTAAGACTTTAAGTTGAAGATGTATTATCTTTTCCTTTACAACTGAAGAAATTACAGTTTGATATTTAAAATATGTTCAGTTTCTAGTTTAAATAAAGTCAACTTTTCATTTGATTCTTTGAAGTTATGTGTTTGATTGCATAACATTGCTCCCTGCATACACAGGCAAATACATGAGAGCATTAGAAAAACAGGGGATTATGCCTAGTGGATAGAGAGTTTCACTGCCAACCCAAAGGTGAGCAGGTCAAATCCACCAGCTGCTCTGAGGTATAAAAATAGGCAATCTCCTCTTATGCAATTTATAGCCTCAGAAAATCCAGTGGAGGGTCAGCTATGGTCAGTTCTGACTTGACAGCAATGTGAGTTTGCAAGAAGAATTCTTTTTTTAATTTTAGTTAGACCTTTTTTCATTGAAATCCTACAACCTTATGTTGTTGATGAAATGGCACAGGAGTTCAGAGCTGTTGTTCACAGGGTTGCTATAGGTGACTTAATGATACCTAACAAACAACATCAACAATGACATACCATCAGATGAGACTGAAAACCATATGACCATCAAAGGAATAACAAATTCTCCTAGAAAGTACAGTGAAATGCTGTTAGGTGTCATTGAGCGATTACAACTCACAGAGATCCTATGAGCAGCATCGCAAGCTAGTCCTAGAAGAAGCCAATGCTTCAAAAATTCTTTCCTTTTCCTCTCTGTGTCTGTTTTATGCCCATTGTTTTGACTATGGAAACACATTGGAATATGTGATGCCAAACCAATATTTGAAAAAATTAAAAAAATTGAATTCTGGTGTCTTTGTCAGAATTAGCCATCTAAGTTACTTTTTATGACTTCAAGTAGTAGCACTTACTTGTAATTTTATCAGTCTTCCTTTACAGTGACAAAACTACATGGAAACTGTGATTGAATTGTCACCACAGTAGAAAAGGATAAAATAGTGTGGAAATACATAGAAAATGCTTTCAAACTTGATGTTTATAAAAATAAAACTCGTTAAATAGGTCTGTTGTTGATTGCCGTTGAGTCGAGCATGACTCACAGCAACAAAAAGGCCTGAAGCCTTTATATAACTATTGTCATTTATCCAAGTTTATAGAATTTCCAGAGGCATGTGGTTTAGGAAATGGATGCTACTTCTGCTTCCAAACCTGAATCAATCTGGGAGCTCCAAAAACACTGCCCACGATGGGTAGTCATTATGGTATTTGACACACCTATGACACAGTTGTTCAATTATGGCATTTGAGACCCCAAATGTGTTACAGCAAACCCAGATTACCTCAGCACAGCAAATTGTCAAAAGTGCTATAGTCTTAAAAGAAAGTTCCACCAAAATTTAGTAACAAGGCATTAAAATATAATCCCTCTCAGGGCCAACTTTTAAATACAAGGGCCCTCCAAGAGGTCTTGTTGACTCTAAACAAGAGCCTTAAATAAAAACCAAATAGGTTTACAGTCACTAATTTTAAATAGGAGGCTATTGTTTTTATATTGTGTAATAACTATCTCACTCTGAAACATTGTTTGGTCATATACAGTTATGAAAAAATAAAGAGGCTGTTCTCTATTGCTTGATATTTATAAATAGTTGAGTGGGGAAAGAAAGCAGGCCCTGAATACTTTTTCTTATAGTCTTGAAGGTGTTTCCTTTTTTTATTTTTTTAAGCAAGGATGCATTTTCATAATAATAATCTCAACAAAGCTATTTTTATTTTCTTAAAGACAATCCAAAGCTAACAATAAAAAAAATGAAGTTACTGCTCAGTCTTGGAGCCAAATGTAGATGAAAGCAATTAAGAATCAGAACTGTGTGACCAATCTTACCTCATTTGGATGTTTCTCACATTTCAAGTATAGTCAGTTATCCAGCTCACAAACTAAGATAATATTTGTATAAATGCCTTATAAATGACAAGAATCTTACAGGTATAGAGTGATGATGGCAGTGGATAGGGGAGGAAATATCAGGAGGAAAAGAGCTGTGTTTATTGACTACCACAGTAGTTAACAGCCGACTCTTGGCTAGGATCTTTCGCAGATATCCTGTTCTTAACCTCCCTGACAGTCTGAAGACTGTGCCTGATTCAGGCCTGGTCATTTCAATCACTTGCTATGCATCTGAGAGCCGGACAAAGATGAATAAGGATCATAGAAGAATTGATGCCTTTGAGGTGTGATGTTAGAGAAGGGTACTGAATATCCCATGGACTGCCAAAAGAACAAATAGAAATGTCTTGGAAATGATGCAGCAAGAGGCAAAGACAGCAAACTTCATCTCTCATACTTTGGGCATGTGGCTAGGAGATGCTATTCCTTGGAGGAGGGATGTGGTTGGAAAGGTGGAGGTCAGTGAAAGAGGAAGACCCTCAACGAGTTGGATAGACACAGTGACTATAGTTATGGGCTCAAGTGTATCTGAGATTGTGAGGATGACGTAGGATAGGACAGGGTTCAGGCCTGTTGTTAACAGCCTTGCTATGAATCATACTGGATTTGATGGCACCTAACAACAACCCTTCCTGGGCTGGAGAGTGGGATTCCCTCTTTATAGAAAAGTGAGGCCCAAAGGTGATGATTTCCCTAAGGTCTCACATTGATCTTGCTGGGACTAGAACCTGCGCCTTCTGACCGCATCCTGTGCTGTTTGAAAAGTTCTTTTGATTTCCTAGATGTCTAGGCAACTTCCAACTCTTCTTTCTCTTCTCTTTTTCAGACGACTGAACCGGAACCAGCTGCACATGTTACCAGAACTGCTGTTCCAGAACAATCAGGCTCTATCGAGACTGTGAGTGCCGCTGGATGACCTCAAGTTCTTTCTGGGGTCTCAGTCCTCACCCTAAGGGGGGGGCCAGTGTTTGGTTAGAGGGGCATGGACTTTGCCTGACTGTGACTAGCATGCTTTCCGTGGGGTGGAGCATCAAAGGCCAGGCTCTTTCGATAGGAAAGACTCTTGTTGTGCTGGGTGGGGTTTTGCCTTGTGTCAAGTACTTGAAAGAATGCAGTTCTGTGTGCATTGTATCCCCTTCTGTGTGCTGTCTCTGACAGAGCTGGTGCCAGGATGCTTGGGGATGGGACACTTGTCCTGATGATGCCAGCCTTCAATCGTAGAGTGATCCTAGTGGTCACCTCTTGTTGACTTTAGCGTCTTGTTTTCTCTGCTCCTTCCCTCTCAGCTGATTCTTGCAAGGGTCATCACAGCTTTGTGTCTCATAAAAGAAAACTAATTTTGAGCATATTTTCTTTTGTTCTCATTTTGTGATTCTCCCCCTCCCCTTCTGCTAAGCTCTCAATGTCTGCCCTGGCTGGGCAGTCTTTTTTTTTTTTTTTTAATTTTTTTAATTGAGATTTTAATGAAAGTTTATAGAGATTTTGGATTTCCATTCATTCACTGTTGAACATTTTCCTCTCTGCCCACCTTCCCCCCTGGAAATTGGTTTTTCTCTTTGAGAAGTAAACAAAAATTCTTTCATTATTATACACTGCCCCCCTCTCCCCCCCAGTCAACTCCCTCATGCCGCTCTCATTCTGGACTCTTGTCATGAAAGTAATACCTAATTATATATTCCTTTCAAATAGTTCTCTCCCTCATCTGTTCTTGGTCCGTTGATTTCCCTTCTGATAGACCCATGGTCCTCCACCATTCGGGCTTCAGAGCACAAGCATGTTGGACCACTGCCATCAGGCTCTGAGTATTTGCTTTGATACTCTCTTGTTTATTTTTAAATGTCCAAGACCTCTCATGTGAATCTCAATCCACAAACCTCTAGCCCTTTGCCTGGGATCACTTCTAGTCATATCTTTTTTGTTTTAGGGGGTAGAGAGGTGGAGAATGACATTTTGGCTATGGCCTTTTAACTGCTTGTAGGGGTAAAAGATAAGGATAGTTCCACAAGAGACTCTCTCTCTCTCTCTCCCTCTGCCACTAAGTCCACCTTCCACCTGTGTCCCTCAAGTAAGCCAGGATAGTATGTGACTGACTTGAGGACAGCTGCTTACTTGGCCTGTGTGTGTGGAATTTGGGTTCTAGTTGCTTTGGTGTAACTAAGGATAATTTAACCCCTTCTTGTTGTTGTGTAAAAGAGGAAAGATATACAGGAGTCCAGTCTTTTGTTCATTGGGTCACTATGAGTCGCCTACGACTCGATGGCACTTAACAACAACAACAGCAACATACTGTCGAGTCGAAACCGACCCTAGCTGACCCTCTGGTGGGTTTTCAGAGGAAGTAAATCACACGGGAGGAAATTGCCCATCCTTCTTCCGCGGAGCACCTGGTAGATTCAAACTGTGAACCTTTGGGATTGCTGTGCAGCTTCTTGCCATTAGGCCACCAGCCTAGTTTAACTCCGAGAGCCTCTTTTTATTGACGGTGCTTTGTTGGGCTGTGAGCAGGATAAGTTGATATGTTCATGTGAAGTGTCTTGGCCTGCTGGTGGGCTTTTGGGGAGTGTGGGCAGTACTGACGTGAAGTTGAACACCGCTGTGGACCATGGCTCCTTGGGTACTGGCAAGAGCTGCTGCAGGGGAGGATCAAGGTTGAAAGGATGACTTTCCCAGAGTACGATGAGCCCCACTTAGGACTCCCAATCCAGTGCTTGTTGTATTTGCACAGAAGTCTTGGAGTAAAGGATGCATATGCTTTAATAAATAACTCAGTGATGGGATCATAAGCAAAGGCTGGTGGGAGTCAGCCCATCTTAGGGACAGAAGAGTCACCGAAGAGGACAAGGGTTTGTGTGACTCGTGCTGGTGGTGTGTGCTTTTAGCGGTTGGAACAGATGCTGAGTGTCTCCATCTGTTGGTTTTCAGGGGTGTTCCCTATAGGGAGGAAGCAAGCTGGAGTCAACGGAGGGGCCCCATAATGGAAAACTAAGTGGTCCTTTGGAGAATATTTCCAGATTCTGGAGCGAGTCTTTCCCCCTAACATTTGCTACCTTCTCTTTCTAGGCATCATTTCCCAACTCCCGGGAGGAGACATTTTTTATCCAGGAGCATACTTCCCGCTTAGCCGAGGTGAAGGAAGACTTTTCTTTAGCTCCCTTTTGACGTTCATAATCTCAACTATATGAGCAAGTCCTTTAACAGGGAGGCCTTTGGGGTAGTCTCTTACGGACACTTACCAAAGTCCTAAGTTCGCTGGAGCAGCCACCATGACGCCCTCTTCCTCTAGTTCAGGCTGTGTTCAGAAGGGGAAATATGATTCCGTGAACTTTTAACATTGATCTAGTTGTTTGTCTTTGATGTCTGGACTCACAATTTGTCACCTGGGAGATGGTTATAGGGAAGAAATTAGGAGCAAGTGTTAAAGATGTATTTGCTAATATTTTTTGGTCCACTTCTACTCCTCTTTAATTGACCTGACCATCTGGCATTCCAAAACATTTCTGCTGTGTTCACCAGTTGGTCTGGCTAAGGAACACTGTTGCATTCTGGGTTCCAAGAACAGAGGCTGGTGATGGTAAAGGTGGATAGAAGGTATGGTAAAGACCCAATCAGCCAACTGGGACTCCCCAGGACAGGAAATGAGGTACAACTTGTCCTCATAGAAAATAGATAGATTTCTGGGACATCTGGAATTCCTTCTGGATATTGGAGTGCAGATTGTCACAGCCTCTGAGTGTCTAACTCCTGTTTTCTGGGAGAAGGAATTTGATTTGCTCATTTAGGTCAGGAGGTCACCTCAGGGCTGATGGGTGGTTCTGGGTCTTGTGGAATCACTTGGTTCAGCCACATTATAGAATTCATTCCTTCTACAGGCACTAAGGGTGGAACACTGTCCCTTAGTAGGTGTGGTAAGAGTGAGGTAATGCTTGCATTGCTGGTTTCTCACCTGTTGACCTTCCCTCTGCTTTGGATGGATCCTTTACTAATCCTTTTCATCTGGAACAAATTATGGACTTTCATGCAAAGGCAGTTATGCTAAAACAGCATGAAAATAAATTTGAGAGAGACCACTTGTGCTGGATAAGGTGTGTCATAGACGGTATGGTCCACATTTCAGTTGATTTTGTCTCTGTTGATCCTGCAAGCTAAAAATCTTGCTAGCGGTTATTCTTTGCTAATGTTCTTATCAGCGTTGGGCTAGCTGCAGGGCTTATAGCTCAAAAAGGAGATACTTGCCTTATATTATGGGCAAATTTGGTGATAGGGCTGGAGTTAGACACCAGGCTTTTTGAGGGTTCATAAAGAACCTTAAAATGGACTTACTCCTTGATTTAGACGTCTCACATTAGGGGATTCATAAAAATGTTCATTGTAACATTATTTAGTACATTAAAATGTTGGAAATCACCTAAATAGCCACCACTAAGAGAATGGTTAAGTGAAATATGGTAGATTTACTTGACGAAAGCTCATATACTCATCAAAAAATGACCTTACTGAAAGATGCAAAGTAATGCAGATCAATGTTTATAATCTAAAAAGCCGGGATGCAAAATTTTACTAATGATATAGCCACAAGTATGTCTGATACAACCACAAGTATGTCAAACAATGCGTACGAAATGACTGCAAACTGCCAACAGGGATTGTCTCTGAGTGATTCCCCCCCTTCTCTGTTTCCCAGATGTTCTGTAAGAATCATCTATTATCTTTATGGTGGGAAATCTCGGGTTTTTCTAAGGAATGCGAAACCGCTGTAGTCTCAGCTAATGCAAATGCTGGTTATGTGATATCGGGTCACTCTCTTCAGAGGCATTAAATCACACAGGAGGAGACTGCTCATCCTTGTTCCTTGGAGCAGCTGGTGGATTTGAACTACTTGCCTTTGGGCTTGCAGCACAGGCTCTTACCACTAGGTCTCCTGAGCTCCCTGATGACTGGTAGGCGCTTAGTACATGTCAGATGAGTCGCACTCATAAACCTGACTCTCAGAGGCACCATAGCCCCTCCGTTACCTCCAGGTTTGAACTGTCTGTGGTGGCTCAGCCTAACCTCTCCCAATAGGTGCAGCTGGGGAGGAAGCAGAAGGAGCCATGGCTGGGCTTGCTGGCCACCTCTGTGGGTGGCAGGGTGGGACAGTCATTACACAGGATCAGGACTTTGATGAGGGGGAATCTGCTTTTGTATACTTTTGGAAACTCCCCAAGCAGTTTGAAGAAGGCAAACAGGAAGTTAGTGGGTAATGTTGCCCCTGGAAATATTTCTTAGGAGTTACCTGTGCCTGTGTCTCTTTGTAGTACCTCCACCCTGGCTGTATGCTGTTCCTTTTCTAAAGCTGGAGGGAACTGGAGCCCCTGCAGCAGGGCCCCTGCCCTTGCCTTCTCCCTCCACCTCTCCCCAGGACCACTGGAAAGGTCTCTGGAATTGAAGTCGCTTTAGTGATGGTTAGAACGAACTGAAGATTTTGCTCTGTGCTGGGCTCATATAGAATGACTTGAAATCATGTCATTTTATCCTCAGAATAGCTTTACCAGCTCAGTATTTCCTCCATTTTACAGGTGAAGAAATTGAAGCTCAGAGAGGTTGTGACATACCTGAGGGGCTGAGACAAATTTGAACCCCTGCTAGCTGAATTTATAATATATAAGAATTTAATTTTTTATAAGAATGAAAGAATGTTTCTTTTACTTTTCAAAGAGAAGAGTGAATTAGGGGAAGTGGTGGGCAGGAAGATAAATGCAACAATGGATGAATGAAAATCCGGTCTCTGTTAACTTTCATTAAAATTAATTAAAAAAAAGAGAAAGAATTTCATTTTTATATACCATTCATCTGCTGCCTACTTCCATCCTGTCTACCCCTTTTACACTCATCCTCTATTCCTCACGCATCCCCTCATCT